CACTAGGCAGGTGATGAAGCACTGGAACGGGTTACCTAGGGAGGTGGTGGAATCTCCATCCTTAGAGGTTTTTAAGGCCCGGCTTGACAAAGCCCTGGCTGGGATGATTTAGTTGGGGTTGGTCCTGCTTTGAGCAAGGGGATGACCTCCTGAGGTCTCTTCCAACCCTAATCTTCTATGATTCTGAGAGTGTCTGAACTGTCTATACGAGGGTCAGTCAGTGCTCTGCGTTGAAAGGAACTGTGTAAACCCAAGATCATAACATAGTAGAGGGCAGTCGAACCCCTGTCCTGTGTAGAGGTATAGATCCTGAGACAAGTGTAAATAATAACACATGTAATTGAAATGGAGAGAGAGAGAGAGCTTGGAGCCAAAACCTTCTGACTTGTATCCCTAGCTCTCCCTCTGTGACCTTGGACAAGTTGCTTCCTGTGCCTCAGTTTCTCCATGGAGCTTCATCAGAAGGGCTCATGTATAGGGTGTTCAGAGTCCCACTCAGTGCCCGATCCACATTCGCTGCGGTCGTTACGGCCCCGCGATGGAGCCTGGCTCTTTGCCCAGGAGGTAGAGGGCCACTAGTGCTTTTATCTCTGGAGGTCCCAGGTTCAGTTCCTGGTGTGCCACGCCCACGTCCTGCTCCCAGCCTCACCTCTGCCCCTCCTCTGTGTCCCCCACAGTGATGGTAGCCACGCAGCAGCAGATGAATGACGCTAACCTGCCCCTGGAGATGCGCGACTACTGCGCCCACTACCTGATCAAGCTGTTGAAGTGCAAGCGCGACAGCTTCCCCAACTTCCTGGCCTGCGACGACGAGAAGCATGACTGGGATTACTGCCAGCACCTTGAGTACGAGGCTGCCTGTGCTGGGGGGCTCCTGGCACCATTCACAGGCTACTCCGCTCCTAGGGCCACAGAGCTGGGGGTGGCAGCCCTAGGGGTAGAGAGGGGCAGCATGGCCTAGTGGAGAGAGCACAAAGGAGACCAGGGTTCTATTCCCAGCTCTGCCACCGGTGTGCTGGGTGACCTGGGGCAACTGGCCTCCTTTGCACGGTGCTTTGAGGTCTACTGATGAAAGGTGCTGCCGGAGCTCGGTGTGATTGGCACCTGCCCTTCCCACATAGGGTATTTAAGCCTAAGAATGTGCTGATGGTCCCCAGTAACCAGCTACGGCGGGCACTTAGCACAGAAATAAACGCGCGCCCCCCCCCCTTACTTTGCAGAAGGCATCTCAGAAAGCAGTGTTCTGGGCCATTGGCTGAGCCCCGGGCCCCACTGGTGCGGCTAACCCTGCAGGATGGTGATGAAACACGTGTAGGGCCCTTCCCACAGAGGGTCAAGCCCTGGGCCGAGCAGACCCCAGAGTGAAGGGAGGGGTACTAGGTGGAACGTGGTTATGGGGCTGGCCCGGCTGTGTCACCGTGGGGATTGTGGAGTGGAGGAGGGATCTGGAGGGGGAAGCTGTGGGGAGGGGGAGGGGCCAGATAGCCTAAGGATTGGTTCAAAGCAGTGAATTTAATTTCAGTGAGCCCCCCCTCCAGGAAAGTGGGACAGTCCAACAGCTCTGAGCTCGGCCTGTACCTAATGCAGAGTGGTGGGGTGCAGCATGCTGGGGGGGGGGGGGTTGCTCCTGCTGGAGATGCAGGTGGACCCCCGTGACTGATGTCTCCTCTCGCCCCAGCTACGTGATGCGTATGAAGGAGTTTGAGCGGGAGCGGCGCTTGCTGGTGAGGAAGAAGAGGCTGGAGCAGAAGGCGGCGGCTAGAGCAAAGCAAAGCCCTGTGTCCCCATCCACCTGAGGGGTTGGAGAAATCCTCTCCTTGTGTTGTATGTAAGGGAATAAATAATGGCTCGTCTGCGTCTGGATCGCGCTTGGTGACTGGAGTGGGGTGGGCAGGGCATGAGCGTGTACTGCACTGAGGCTGTAATGCCCCATCACTGCAGGTGCTGGGCACGATGGGGAGCCAGCGTGAGTGAGGTAATTGCTCTTACTGGACCGACTTCGGAGCTTCTTCAGACTTGGACCTGAAGTTATGGGGAGCAGTGAGCGGTGGCATTTCCTAGTGGTTAGAGCAGGAGTCAGGACTCCTGGGCTAAGTTCCCATTAAGCTGCGTGGCCGTGCAGCTCCCTATTAAGCCCTGCTCAGGGCTGCTGTGGGAAGAGGTGCCCCTCCCTGCCGGCTCCAGCGCAGACCTGCCCCGAACTTGCTGCGGCCGGGGGAGGTGCCCCTCCCTCGGCCCTGCCCAACCCAGCCCTGCCGGAGCTGCTGCAGTTGGGGAGAGGCGCCTCACCCTGGGCTGCTGTGGCAAGAAAGAGCTGGGTGGAGTCCTCTCTGCCCACCACATCCTGGGGGCAGCCTGCACCCCAAACCCCTCATCCCTGGCTCCACCCCAAAGCCTCCACACCTCAGCCCTGAGCTCACTCCAAGCCTTTCATCCCCGGCTCTATCCCAGAGCCCACACCCCCCTCTACCCCAACCCTCTGCCTCAACCCTGAGCCCACTCCAAACCTCTCATCCCTGGCTCCACCCCAGACCCTGCACCCCCAGCCGGAGCCCTCACCCCAGCCCTAAGCCCACTCCAAACCCCTCATCCCTGGCCCCACCTCAGAGCCTGCACACCCCAACTCTCTGCCCCAGCCCTGAGCTCCCTCCCACAGTCCGAACCTCTTGGCCCCACCCCCACATGAATTTTGTCATGTGCACCAATCACCTCTATATTGGTGCACATAACAATTCATTCCACACATGGATGTAAAATATTAGAGGGAACACTGCTCCTGGGTGGTGGTCCTGCTCTGGGAGGGGGATAGGGTCTAGTGACTAGAGCCAGGTGTCCCTGGGCTACCCCCACCTTCTCCCCCGTCTGTGAGCGGGGTGATGCTCGGCTCCCTCCCAGGGTTGGAGCGTGTGCGGTTGCGACACCCTATGGCTGCCGAGTTCTGGCCCTCAGCACGGCCGAGCTCCGCTGGGCTCAGACAGCGCCAGACGCGCTGAGAGTTCCAGCTCCCACGGGCGGTTGGCTCCGTTCCTGCCCTGGCAGCCAGTGCTGGGAATCTACCCGCTGCCCCTTCTCCTTGCAGGGAACCTGCTCGTGCTCGCTGCTGTCCGTCGGGGGAGCTTTTGGGCTGAGGCCATGGCATAGCTTCGGCCCTGTAACGGCGACACGCGCTACAGCCAGGGAAGGGTTTTACAGCACCCATCTCGCCAAGTGCTAGTCACACTAGCTGTGTCCACAACGGGGGTTAGGTTGGCACAGCTATGGGGGGGGAAGGATTTGTCACACCCCTGCCCTTTGGGGGCAGCTGCTGGAGAATCTAGGGTGTGCTGCACCTGCCCATGGGGCTGTTTTCTTGCTCGCGTCCACACCCGCTGGAGAGACGTCTGCCAGCAGCAGAGGGCAGAGCTAGTTCTGCTTCAGCCCACGGGCAGCGAGGCG